GTAAAGATTGAGTTTTTCTTTTTAAAAGCATTAAGCAAAAGGGAAGTTTATGCAAAAAAATTTTAAAAGTATAAAAAATACTCATGGTGTTCACCAAAGAAATAACATTATAATATAAGATGTCCAAATATAGACAATAGATTTCTAATATAATATATAGTTCTCATGTGGATACTATTTACATAAACAAAAAATATAACAAAATTACACATCAAGTTATTAAACAAAAAGGTCAAACTTTACCTTTCATATTTGAAAAAACATGCATTAACTCTTAAAAAAAGTTTAACTAAGCCAAAAGATACATTAATCTACTTTCAAATTATTATACAAAAATTTTGATCATCTTTTCACATATATTTATTCATCCTTCTAATATTTACTTCGCTCAACTATATCTAAGAATCACATGCAAATATACTACTATTATAATTTATCACAATATTAAACATAAAATTAATTGACAACCTTTTATAAAACTACAATATAATTGAACAACCCACGCGTAGCATGGACAAAACACTAGTCTTCTTTATATAAAAGGGATATATTTTCTGCTCTCTAAAGGGTGCCACATAGGCAAAAATAATCACCAAAATAATCAGCCAATAAGAATATAATAAATTGTCATATCGTTAAATTATAAAAAAACTAACCAATAAGAATAAGACAATAGGCCACTCATCTTATTTATATAAAAGGAAAATATTTCAAGGCTTGGTAGAACTGCCATATCAGCAAAAATAATTAGCTAATGATAGACTCCAAAACTGTTATGTTATTTTTTTCAACTAATAACTTAAAGCCATTTTATAAAATAATTTATTAATCAAAACTTCTTCAAATTTTGCCTAAAAAAAACTTGCATAATTCTTAAATGCTCAACAAAGGAATAAAGAATGAAGCCCAAAACAAAAAAAAATAACAAAAACAAGATTTCAAGGCTTCTAAGGGCTGCCACATCTAGTGGCGAGTCCACTTGAGAGAATAGGATGTCAATTGAACCCATATAATTTTGAAAATTACCTTAGTTTTTAAAGAAATCGGATGGTATTGGTGGCAAATATGGATTTTTTTTTACACCATTGAACCCAGTCAAATTAATTTCTGGCCTCGCTACTGGCCACATCAGCAAAAATAGTCAGCCAATGATAGACTCCAAAACTGCTATACTTCTCGATTTTCAATCTTCTCGCCTCCAACTCACCAGAAACGGAATCAGCCTTTACTAAACACAAACTTTACTTTATAATTACTGACAACCAAACTGGCAATAAACAATAAAGCTTAAATAAATAGACCAAAAACGTCTAGAAATCCAAAAAAACATAGCAATGAGGATGTAAAAAAAAAGATATGGCAATGAGACACATAAAGTATAAATAATACACAACTCTATCACAAATGAAGTCTAATGTGTCTCATGCTATTGATGTAAGCAACATAAATATACAATCTCACAACTGTTTTTGCATTTTATTTATAATATGAGTCGAGCAAGAATGAATCTCAGTCATAGTATTGTTGGAGCAGGAGAATGTCTTTCTCGCCAAAAGTAAAACTTGAGGAGTGACTCGATTTTCTTTCTTCTAGAGAAAGGTAATTTAATCAATTGTAAATTTTTGATATTATAACAGATCACAAGTTTCTAAAGCTGATATAGAGTTTCATATTGTTCGCTGTAACCATACATTATGGAGAAATTGATGTAAGATTTTAACTAAAGAACCAGTGATTGAAGACAGTTACTCACAATTTCTTAATTCTCATTTGCAAAAGTTCATGAAACATAAAACTGAATTTTTTTTTCAAATAACATATAACTATAAACTTCCACTCTCTTCACCTATATTGGCAAATGATCGAGCTAGCTAAACTAACAAACTAATATTATATCAATTAATTAATGAAAAACTCATATAATGAAGAAGTTTACTATTAATCGCCATTTGTTTTATTTGTTGAATATATGAACTAATTATAAAACATCTATGTACACATTAAATTTTTAAAATTTGATAAGTAGAGAAATGCATACTATTTAAAAATTAAAAGCAAAATCCTAAGGTTCATGAAAAATGAAGTAAGAACTGAGTTTTTCTTTTTAAAAGCATCAAACAAAAGGGAAGATTATGCCAAAAAGTGTAAAACAATACCCATGATGTTCACTAAAGAAATGCCATTATAACATAACATGTCCAAATTTAGACAACAGATTTCTAATATAATATATAGTTTATATAGATACTACTCACATAATAAAAAAAATATAACAAAATACACATCAAAATTGCATATATTATAAAATAGTCAAATTTTACCTTTTATATTTGCAAAAATATGCATTAACTCTTAAAAACAAGTTCAACTAAGCCAAAAATACATTGATCTACCTTAAAATTATTATACAAAAATTTTGATTATCTTTACACACACACACACACATATATATATATATATATATATATATATCTACTATTTACTTCACTTTATATCTAAGAATCACATGCAAATATACTACTCTATAATTTATCACAATATTAAATACAAAATTAATTGACAACTTTTTATAAAACTACAATATAATTATAAATCCACGCGTAGCATGAGCAAAACACTAGTAAGTCTAAGTTTGAGTAAAAAGAACAAAGGGGAAGCAAATTAGTGAAGAGATTAATGAAACAAGAGAAACAAAACAAAAAGAGTAATACCACCATATGCTTCATCGATCAAACTACTAGTGCTCTTGCTGCCTTCCTTGATCTCGTGAAGTGTTTATTGACATAATTATGAAGACAATGTATGAAGAACATCTTAGCTTAGTAGAACTTTAAGGACGTATGTGGATATCTGCATTGAAAGTTGAAATCTCCATGAAACGTTATGTAAAATAATTATAGGCACAACCATATATTTCTAGGCCATACCTGTTAGTTATAAGATTCAGAGAATTGTATATATTTGGAGGTTAGAAAGCATATGACTGATTGATATACTGTAGCAAATTGTTTAGAGAATCATACTAATTAATAAATATGGAAGATTGTGTGTCTAGTCAGTAGTGTATTATAGTCTAATGCCTCACTTCGCTTTTTTTATTTGACGGAAAATTTAAAGTAATAATTAAATCATAATAGAAAAACTTTTCATATAAAATCCTTTTTGGTTTAAAAAAATTCTTAATATATTTTGTCGACCGTCATAAATATATTTTTCACTAAAACTGTTTTTTGCCTTATCTCAAAATGGTAGCTTAATTAGGGTATGGGTAGCTAAAACTATATGTAGTTTGTTGCATGTACATTTTTGCTTCAATATTTCCATCCCATCAACTTTTAAAGACTTACGTATGTCTAAAACTTGCGTGTAATCTTATGGCAGTGTGAATTGCTTTTTGTTTAGAGATCTAGTCCAGGCATTCTGTTCACGGATTTGTTAATAGCTCTATTGTTATCATCGGAATTTTAAAGTTTTTAATGTCGCTGGTTTTCTCAATTCACGCTAATGTTTGCTATGCAGTCCGAGAAGGTACGAAGCTGCCGGATGGTTTAGAGAAATTGTAATGCCTTCCTGTTTGTTATTCAACTCCGAACTGAAACTGAAACAGTTTAAAGTTCAAATTTCTATTTTTTAATATTTCATTTTTCTTTCGAGATAAAGATTTCCTAGTTCAGGATAATATTACATTTTTAATATGATATTAATAAACATATTTCTAAAAAATTGATATTAATAAACATATTCCTAAAAGATTTTGTAAATATCTTTTTAATAATTATACTTTCTTTTTTATACTTTTTCATCATTTCTAATAATTATATTTTCTTTTTTTGTGATTATTTTTACTTCCTGCCCAAGTTTCCTATTGAGTATAAACAGATGATATTTCCTCATTATTTTTTTTCATCCTAAATTTTCAGAGAACTGAGAACTCTAGAACTCTCTTCTCTCTTTTTTTCCGGCGTTGAGCTCTCTCTCGCTGCCGTCACTTTCTCTCTCTTTGCTGCCGCACTCCTTCTTCTCTCTCTCCTTGCTGCGACTTCGCCATCTCATCCGTCTGACACCCACTCCGGCCGTCCATGGAGGCACAGCCCCTTCTTGGACTGGACGCCCTCACCTGTCGTTGCCGCCACGGAGCCTCCCGTCCACCACCTTTGGGACGGACCCATCACTGCTCCGGCCAGACGCTTTGCTCTAGTGTGGCGCATCGACAATGAGTTGGACACCTCACGCAGCTACTCGCCGCTGCCGCTCAACCAGCCGGGAGGAAGATCAATCCGGCGTGGCTCACCGCCGTAGAACACTTGACCACGTTCAATACTCCTTATCTCTCAAAGGTGGTGGATGCGAGGCTCCTTGGCGGCAGCGGCAGGTGAGGGCGTCCAGTCCAGGAAAGGGCTGTGCCTTCATGGACGGCTAGAGCTCGTCAGACGGCTGTGACGGCAAAGATGGCGAGCGGTGCGACATCACGGTGAGGAGAGAGAGAAGAGGGAGCAGGGCGGCGAAGAGAGAGAAAGTGACGATGGCAAGAGAGAGCTCGGCGTCAGAAAAAGAGAGAGAAGAGAGTTCTAGAGTTTTTAGTTATCTGAAAATTTAGGATGAAAAAAATAATGAAGAAAAGTCTTCTATTTATATCCAATGGGAGACTTAGGCAGGAAGTAGAGATAATTATGAAAAAAGAAAATATAATTATTAGAAAATATATTTATAAATCCTTTTAGAAATAAGTACATTAATATCATATTAAAAATGTAATATTATCCTGAACCAGGAAATTATTATCTCTCGAAAAAATAAAATATCAAAAAATTAAAATTTTAATTTTATACCGTTTCAATTCGGGTTTGAATAAAAAAAACGAGACGTTACAGAAATGGTCAGAGTTTCTAGTGGTAGAAATTTTCCGGCAGAACCTTCTGAAGAAAATTTTAGGCTTGGATTGCGAAGTAGGATCGTACTTTGCAATGGTCTCTATACATTAGAGATGATGAATAGCTCAGATCACTCTATTTAAAGACATGCAGCCTTTGGTACGGTCGGTTCTTGATGGCTACAATGTCGGCATATCTGCTTACGGCCAAACCGGGTACGGTAAAACTTTTACCATGGTAAGAACTGCTACTATACTTGTCTTTATGGAGTTTTTGGAATCTTAGTACAACATCAAATTCCTAATTTGCCTAACTAGTCTAGACAGGGCCTAAGGAACTGACTGAAGAAAGCCTGGGTTGTGAACTACATGGCACTGGCCGATCTGTTTCTTCTTCTATCAAATAAAAAAAAAGGACACGAACCAGTTACGAAATCTCAGTTCAGATGCTTGAGATTTACAACGAGCAAGTCAGAGATCTACTTGCCACAGGTTGACAAACTAAGAGATATCATTTCGTTCTATTAACAAAAGCTTTACCACCAAACCCTATACCACTTAACCGTGAGAGGATTTCGAGAAGAAGATCACTTGAAACTCCTTCCATTCGACCTAAAGTTCATGCCATGGGAAATGCACCAAGCAACCTTATTTTTCTATAATGTAATTTTTGTAAAATTTTGATCGATTCTACAATTACATTTTATCAAAAAAAAACAGAAATGAAAAGGCAAAAACCAAAACCGCATCATATAACAATTTTGATCGATGAACAAAACATAAGACAAAATGTCGTGAAAGGGTGTTACAAAGGGGCCTCGTGTAAAATAAAATAAAAACACCATGAAGACAAATTCACAAGACTATGGATATCGCTACTAAAAACAAATTAAAAGGCAGATTTAATCATCAGCTAAAAAAATGTTTCAAAATGTTTTCTCATTTCTCTACTTTGGTCATGTCTTGTTCTGTTTCATTTGATTCAGGCAATTCCCCGAGGAATGTGGGAATCACAGTGGCATAAAAACGAATGAGAGCCTTACATGAGTCTTAGCTCGTACTCACCAGCCATTGTTATGTATCTCACCCATGGAAGTGCTTGGTACCCACTCTTCTCGATGATCTTCAGGTACATCACCTACATTACACCACACAACAACATTACATACATGAAAGTTTCATCACTTATGGAAGAGATGTAGAAACTAGATAATTTTTCTGGAGGGAAAGCTTACCTGAATCCCTGAAACAGTAAAATAAGGGATCTCGAATTTGACACGGATAGGTGCTTTTCTCTCAAGTGTTGCTTCTTTTGCGGTTATACTTGGAAGATGGAACTCTGCTCTCAACATGTACTCCTATATTGTTTTTTTTTTTCCTTCTAGAGGTTAGCATCGATACTATATATAGATGATTGTTTCAACTGGATTAAGGAAAAAGCATATTTAACCTTGTTCCCGGGGAAAGATTTGATTTTCCAGACCAGTGCATCTTTTTCAGGAGCATAAGCAGCGGATCATAGAGATTACCTAACGGTGGGGTTAGATGCATGATGCATCGACAACTCAATTTCAACATTCATTGCGGTGCTGCGAATAGAAAGTTCTCGATCAAAATCTGATCGTGAGGATATGTGCATTACAGTTACAGATTAAAGGAACAGTGGCATAATGCTATGTGTTGAATCAGAAAATCACCACTAGGACTTGATTAACAGTTGTGGGTTTTGGAGAATAAGATCTTTTTATTAATAGCAAGAAAGCGTAGCAGTTACAAAGAAGGGTATAACCGAGAGGTTATGCCGAAGTGAAAAAGGTGTTTGCGAAGTAAACTAGAAAGCGTTGGAGTCTCTGGTTTTAGCTCTGCTGCTCTCTAGAATGTATGAGTTATCCTTTCAGGCTCCGAGATCTTTGTATTTATAGGATTAAGAGGTCGATTGCTTCGAGTTCCCTTTCCTTTTGTCTTTAGTGAATATTTCCGTATCTACGATATGGAAATATCTCTTATTCTCCGAAGAATATGGAAATTCTCCTTTATCCTTTGGGCTAATCCGATGTTTCCGGTCTTCGATAATTATCTTTTAAGAGTTTTCTTTTAATCCGAGCTAGGTCGGCGCGGTCTTCCTGGTCTTGATAATTTTAGGTTATTGCGAAGGGAGGCCTTTTAGGAAATGTGCTCATTTCCCCTCTAACACTATAAAATATATTTAACTTTCGTTCCTTGAACTGACTTCTAGCTATTACGTGCATATCAACACGACTTCTTGAATGCCTTTCTATTTGCGCTTCCAAATAAAAGTATGGTTTTTATATATTAAAAGAAAATAACAAAATATATATTTTGTAATATATATTTTATAATGTATGGTTGAATTTTAAAAAGAAATAAATACGTACAAGTATGGTTTAGAAATAAGTGAATTATACAATGTAAGTGTTGTTTAGTTTTTTTATATCATCTGCAAACGATATGTTTTTACATAATGCAATAATTGGCATTTAACAACAATCACGAAAATTATTTCTGTCATTTGTATTTAATTTAAAAAAATTATTTTTTGCGTTTTATGATATATGATCTCAAATTAAAAGTTATATTAAATATTAAAAAAGTTATAAAGACTTTTTAAAAAAAATTGAAATATAATATCTGACTTTATCATGAAAATAAATATAGTACAATGGATGTTCTATTATTAATTTTCATTTTCAATGAAAATTATTATATAAATTTGTTATAAAATTTGTGTAATAATTTTTATAAAATTCTCCGATAGCTCTCTGCTCATCTCTTCGTCCAATATTAAGGAATTGGTTTGATGTAAAAAAAAAAAATTTTATAGTTGACCTACACACATGTGTTATTTTAAAATTTGACCCGCACATATATTTATTATAAAATTTTCATTTTAGAAATACGTTATATGCACATACATGTAGAGTGAAAATTTGTCTTCTCTTGTCCCATACATAGAAAATTTGACAAGATGGTTAACCAAGATGGTTAACCAAGATGGCCCCCCCACTACTTTGGCCTTTCTACGCAGTGAACGAGTAATAGGAAGATTTTTGTTTTTTACCAAATGGGTAGATATGTGTCAGCTATGACATTCTCTATAGAAGATGGACGGGTTGGAAAAGAGTTAAAGTCAGTGGTCAACCCAAACGAGATGGTGGTGGAGAAATAGTCCTCCGTCTCCACCAAGGAATCCTCCGTCGCCGGAGAGGCCTAGAGAGCTTGATCTCTCCACACCAAATATCTGGCTCTCCATAACAGAGAGGGGGTCTCCAGGAAATTCACCTGAGATGGTGGTTTACATGGCACTGTACCTGCCACTTTACCCAATTCTTCAAAATCCTCAAACCGTTTTCTGCCAATTGCATAGCTAATTGCACGGCAAACTATAAAAAAATAAAAAAAAAATAAACCAAAAAGAATTATAATATTCATTTTGTGAAGCACAGCAAGGGTTCAGAGGAGGAGGGTTGGGAGGAGAAAAGCAAATGGTCTTCAAGGATTTCACTGTAAGAAAACATCAGAACGCAAAAGGCACAAAAAATCCAGAAAGCTCAAGAAGAAACCATAATAGATTATCCATTTTCGGGAACTTAGGATGTGATTCTGTTTCAAAAAAAAAACATATGGTTTGAGGTTTGACAGAAACGAAACAGAGGCAAAAAAAGATCTCGCAACGATGCAGAAGTATAAGATCCTCTGACTTTGATTCCGTTTTAAAAAAAAAACTTAGGGTAAGATAGAATCGAAGCAAAAGTAGAAAAAGTCTCTAAACAATGCAGAATTAGAAAAGATCTTCTCACTAGAAACTCGTCTGGAGACCCCCACTTTTCCTTTTTTTTGCTCCTTCCTATGCTTTGCCCTTTTCTTTTTCTTTTTAGTGACAAAAAATGCCGCTAAAAAACATTAAAGTATATATGTCCGTGTTTGTTTAATAAATACCCAAACGACCCAGTATTAGCTGAAACAAAAATATTTTAGGTATTTACCGGTTCTCAAAATTAAGAACCAAACATACTCAGACCCGACTCCAAGAGAATGAATTTTTTTTAAAGTTAATGTTTAGACCTATTTTTCCACATCAACCGTATTGTAATAATAATCCAAGTAAAGGTACTTCTTGTTGAAAAACAATATAGATGAGGCATATAACTGATTATATTTAACAGCTATATCCAGTTTTTAGTTAGCTGAATACAAACTACAAAACCCAGAGAGTTTGATCTCACCACGCCAAATATCTGGCTCGCCACGACGGAGAGGGGGTCTCCAGGAAATTTACCGGAGAAGTCGCCGGAGATTGTGGTTTACTTGGCACTGTACCTGCCACTTTTCCCAAATCTTCAGAATCCTCAGACAGTTTTCTGCCATTTGCATAGCTAATTGCACAGCAAACTATAAAAACAAATAAACCAAAAGGAATTAGAATATTCATTTTATGAAGCACAGCTAGGGTTTGGAGGAGAAGGGTTGGGAGGAGAAAACGGAGGAAAAAAAGAAATGGTCTTCAAGGGTTTCACTGTAAGAAAACATCAGAACGCAAAAAGCACAACAAATCCAGAAAGCTCAAGATGAAACCATAATAGATTATCCATTTGCGGGAATTTAGGATGTGATTCCGTTACAAAAAAAACATAGAGTTTGAGGTTTGACAGAAACGAAACAGAGGTATAAAAGATCTCGAAATGATGCAGAAGTATAAGATACTCTCACTTTGATTCCATTTCAAAAAAAAAAATACTTAGGGTTAGACAGAACCGAAGCAGACATAGTAAAAATCTCAAAACAATGCAGAAGTAGAAAAGATCTTCTGACTAAAAACTTGTCTCGAGACCTTCACTTTTCCTTTTTTACTACTTTCTATGCTCTGCTCTTTTCAGTGACAAAAAATGTTGCTAAAAAAAACATCCACTACATATTATTTGAGAAGTAACATTATTGAAAATAGTTTACTTGTCAACACTATAGCCAAAGTTAGTGTTTTTAATTGATGACATGTAAATGTGACATGTCAAACTTCATAAAATAAACGAAATGTTTTAATTGGTTAAATTAAAATTATAGTTGTAGAATTAAAACATAAATAAACTAGATTATATTTATAATACTAAAATTAATAAATTTAAATTAACAGAAAATAAAAGTTATTATAATTTTAATTTTTTACACGTATTCATAATTTCATAAAATATAATTATGAATTTATTTCAACAATATATATATATATATTATAATTTCATATAAAAACATAATACTAAATTATCCAATAGAATAGTAAAAATTCTATTTATTAATAATACTTGAAGTATGATATATTTTTATATCGGAAAGTTATTAATTTACAAAATATATTTATAACATCTAAGCAAGTTTTAAAATAAAAATTATTAAATAATACAATTTTAAATAAAATACAATCATGATAAAAAGAATTTAAAGAATAAAATAATAAAACAATTAACTTTTATTGAAATGGTTTTAAAAAACGTAATGTTAATAATTTTATTTTTAAA